CCCCCCCCCCCCCGCTCCCCACAATCTTTCTGCTGGCAGTCTTTTTATTCAGGCAAGCATTTGGCTACTGATTGGCTGCAGAAGGGGCTCCTTTTAAAATAATATGTATCATATTATTTTAAAAAACACAATGAACAATCAAACATACACAACAATACACTTCCATTAAATACATTATTCTTGTAGAATGTAACTCTTTACATATTTTCTTCACCCAGTCCCATTTCCATGTTACCTTATAGCAATTTTCTTTAATTCTTATTGACATCTTTTTCATTGTTCTTTTATTCCACAATTTGCTCCACTCTTCCCCTTTAATTTCTTTACCCCAAACCCTCTTGCCACAATTCTTTTATTATGGATGTATCATATTTTGCCTGTACCAATAGTTTATTTATTTCACTTACAGTACCTTTTCTATTTTTTATTAATTCACCTTTCTGTCCTTTTTCTATATTCTCCTCAAACTTTGTCAATTTACTTCCCTTTCCTTCCTTTTCTATTCCTTTGTCCATTTTTCTACTGTGTTTCCCTGAAAATAAGACAGGGTCTTATATTTTCAGGGGATGTTTTATTTTACAGTTATATCTTCTTCTGGTTGCTGCACAATGGTGGGGGACAGAGTTTCACTTATTTTTTGGGTAGGGCTTATATTACAAGCATCCTGAAAAATCATACTAGGGCTTATTTTCAGGTTAGGTCTTATTTTCGGGGAAACAGGATAGTTGTATGTTTAACCATGAGATCCCTTCTTCTCCCATTACCTCTCTTATTTGCTCTTTATCTTGTATCTTTTCCATCCAATCCTTAATCCTTATAATCCCTTTATTCCTTATTAACAACTTTCCTTTCCTTTTCAGATTTTCTGAAAAAAAATTATGACAATCACCCGGGTCAGGGGAAATGGGTGGGCTCAATACTCTTCTATAACTGAAACAGTAAAGGGACTTCTAATGGAAGGAATGTTGTACTTTTCAAAAAAACTAAAGACCTTTAAAAAGGCTTTTGCTTGTTTACGTGTATTTTAATATTGATGTATTTTTTAAACTTTGTTGCAAACAGCTTTGAGTCCCAGTTTTGGATGAGGGGCAGGGTGTGAATGAACTAAACAGGCAGACGGTGACAGGCATGTGACTGTGTCTGTTCTTCTTGTCCACAGTTGTGCATGAAGGAGTCCAGTGAAGTGCTGCGGGGCCAGATGCAGTGCATGATGCGGACCCTCCACGATCTGAAGAGAGCACAGGATCGAGAGTTCCGGTTGGATCCCCAAGAGATGAAGTCTCCGCCTGGTGTACCTCCCCCAAAGCCATGCACAAGCCCACGGGTGTCTGCTCTTTCTGAAGCAGACTCAGCTTGCTGTTTGGAGGTGGCCGTAGAAGAGGAAGCGGTGGCCTTCTCTCCTCCCAGCAGTGAGCGAAGTTTGGAGTTTGACTCGGGCTACTCCGAAGTGTCCGGCAGCAGCTGGCGAGATGAGGAGGGACCTCCGCCCCTGAGAGCCAGTAAGCTTTCCTCAGGGGGCTTCCTGCGCCGCCGAGCACCTGCCAGGAGACCCCGCCCCAAATCTGCTTCGGACGCCTGCCTGGAGCGGTGGCGGGATAGCGAACCCGCAGATGCAGGTGATTGGACGGTGTCTCTCCTCTCACAGAGTCGCAACCGGCAACCACTCGTGCTGGGGGACAACTGCTTTGCCGACCTGGTGGAGAACTGGATGGACTTGCCTGAGGAAAGTGGGGAGCGGGGGCGGCTGCAGCGCTGGCTGGCGAAACCCCACGGCTTCCTGCTCAACCTCTCGGGCAACGTGCGGCGCCGGCTGGCTGGCATCTCCCGTACTGAGCGTACCAAGCAAGACCCGGAGGGCACCAAGCGTTTCTCCTGCCCTGCAGGCCTGGGAGGTCGGCCTTCGATGCCCTACTTTCATCAGTCCCATGCCAATATCAGTGAGCTTTCCACAGACTGTAGCAGTTTTGCTGCCCTCATGAACTGCCGAAGCCGTCAGCCCATCATTTGCAATGATGTGATTGGCTATATCTAGCGGGACCTCTTCTTCTTTTTTTTTTAAAAAATGCCCTTTTCAAAAACAGATCTATATTTTTATGGTTGTTTGTAAATAAATGTTTTTCTACATTTTAATTTGTTCTAATCTCTTTGTGAATGCAAATGACACTGCTTGAAGTACATTACTTTTTAAAAGCTATGCCCCATAGGGAATTCTTGACTGGAGCAGAGGGATGCCCCTGTCAGTAGGCTGGGCGTAAAGTCTGCTGTGCATTTCCTGACCCAACACCAAATTAGGGAAAGGCATCTCTGTTCTGGCCTCCAACTTAGGGAAACAGGTGAAATCCTTTTTGTTTTGATGTGTAATAGGAAGAAGTAGGAGCTATCCAGTTAAGATTTGTTTGATAAACCAGAGCAGAAGAGCTCACGTATAAGTCTCAGTACAATGCTTAGGAAGGACCAGAAGGAAAATAACCTTGGGATTCCAACCATGGGGATCTCAAAGGAGCTGAGGGATAAACATTATACATGTGAATGAGGGCATTCCAAGAATCACTTGAATTCTGGCATACGTCTCCAAGTATAATGGATATCATGTTGGAGAGATCCAGGTGGAATTTGTAGAGCTTAACACATCCATATATGAATGGTAAAAATAATATTCAAGTTCTAGCTCAGTCATAGTCAATGTGGTGATTTAACACTCCCATCAAAATATTTTATTAGGCGATGAAACTGTGCCGCGTGAGAGGTCAAAATACAGAACAGTGGAGTTAACCACATTGTGCAATTCTATACATTGCTTCTCAGAAGTAAGTCTCAATGGGTTTGATATATAGGAGGGCCAGGATGCAAACCTGTAGAACTGGAGCCATACAGTAGTCTTCTGCTTATTTTCTCAGAGGCAAATCCTAGAATGTCAGGGGAGTTCACAGGCTAAAGGGTATGACTGAGATGGCAATGGCAATCAGTTATTCAAAAGCAGCATTCATCCAGGCTAACAAATGCTATCCCCAAGCATATTTAAAGGATATTAAAGATACCTAGCTCTGACTTATCATTTTGTTTGTTTTACCTTCATCTGGTAGGTTTAATGATAAAACAGCAGTTAAAATGTAAAGGTGTAGCTGACTCAAAGTCACACACCTCGTTGGGTTGATTAATTCCATCAGCAGTATCAAATATCTCAGAAGATTGGATAGCGAGAACCACAAAAGGCCAATACATGTCAAGGCCTTACCTATATTTCCAGTCACTTGAAAGCTGTCAGCCCCAAGGTTGTTACTCCACCACCCATCCCTTGGAATAAAGCAAGAGTAATAATGAAACAAACTACACGACAACAAAAAGTACGGCATACTGTATATCCAGAAAGGCTGTACTGTACACATTTCCAGTACAGAATATCAAGGTTCAATGTAAAATACAATATCCTGTGTTAAGGAAGGAAATCTGTCAAAGCTAAGGAGCATAAAGAAGTCACAATAACCATATTTTAAAAAAATCTACAGACAGTGGAAGTGCTGAATTAAACACAGGGATGTACAAGCCAGCATTTTCTCACCAAGCAATAGCTACTGGAAATTTGTAGGAAGGGCATAAATGAGAAGGCTATCCTGTTGTTTATTCACAGCAACTGGTTCTTGGAGGCTGGTAAGAAGCCTCAGCTTCCATCTTGTGGGGGAAATGTCTGGTATTCTCTATTGTTTTGTTTATTCTTTTAAAAAGAGAAAAGGATATTTTTTTTCAGGTTGTAGTCCCTGAACTTCACACAGAGCACAGAATGGTTGCAGAACAGTCATGAACACCCGTACTTGGCTTGCATTAACTTATTGGTTGAGAGATACAGTTTTGTTGTAACATTTACAATGAGCAAGATCCTGGCACAGAACTCATTTTTCATAAATTGGCACTCAGTGCCAAACTCTGACAAATTTCACATCTATTTTGTCCTTTTGTGGTTATTTAATTTTAACAGAGGCCCTCAGATGACTGAAGGATTTCAAGAGTTCATGCCACTGTCTAGTGGTCCTCCTCAACCTTGAGAGGCAAAAACTCTTAACAATATCCTCTCAGTGTTTGAGGCCTAGACTTTGCAGCTCCCTCTTCATAAACACGTGGACTAGAAAGATAGCACTAGAAAGCAAAGTAAAAGTGGTGTTCCAGTTCTTCAAATACAATTGCCACATTCTGCACAGAGTGGAATAACAGAAGCCCTTATAGATTCCTGGATCTTTTCAGTCTCTTCAAGATAAGTATCCAGACCTCAGTAGTAGGTGGGAATAAAATATTTCAGTCCCAGGTGGAAAACATGTGGTCCTCCAGATGCTGTAAGATTGTCCCTCTCATCAGCCCTTGCCAGCATAGATAATCTGAAAGGTGCTGGAAGTTGGAGCCCATCAAGATTTAGAGGCTAGGGTTCGGAAAATTTACCCTTTTGGACAGTGTGATTGGATTCTTTATCCAAGATAGGCGGGCGAAGGGATTCGGCGGGAATGACAGCCGGAGTCGACGTTACAGTCAAAAAAGGATTTGTTTTATTAACTTTGCCATCAAACAACTCTGAACCAAATGGGTCCGGCAACTCTTCATTTGTTAACAAGTTATACTTCTTGGGTTTAGCTCCAGGTCCCACATCTTTAATTTTCACAGTTTCTTCACCCCACAGTGAGTGATTACGTTCTGGTTCTTGGCTGGCACACTCAGCACCGAGCAGGTAGTCCTGCAACATGGGTGGACCACGACCGAACCCTCCAACCTGGGTAGGAAAGGGCTGGCTCCACCAAGGGTCCTGCTGTCCACCGCTGGGAGAGTAGTCAAACCCACTCCCGGTCTCCATTCCCCTGGTTGCTCACCTGCCCCAAGCTTTCCTATTCCTTTAGGTAGAGGCAGCAAACCATCTTCCTTCATCAAGTTCGGGAAATTCTTTACCAACGTTACAATCCTCTCCCTCTCTGCACCTGTCTCTTTGGTCTGTGTGCCCTTGTCTTCCCTCAACGGATTCTCCTCCCTCCTTTTTCTGTTCCAGTTCTTCAAATACAATTGCCACATTCTGCACAGAGTGGAATAACAGAAGCGCTAATAGATTCCTAGATCTTTTCAGACTCTTCAAGATAAGTATCCAGACCTCAGTAGTAGGTGGGAATAAAATATTTCAGTCCCAGGTGGAAAACATGTGGTCCTCCAGATGCTGTAAGATTGTCCCTCTCATCAGCCCTTGCCAGCATAGATAATCTGAAAGGTGCTGGAAGTTGGAGCCCATCAAGATTTAGAGGCTAGGGTTCGGAAAATTTACCCTTTTGGACAGTGTGATTGGATTCTTTATCCAAGATAGGCGGGCGACAGGCAGCAGGACCTCTCACAATCATGGGGATTCTGGAAACTGTAGTTTAAAATATCACTTTTTCAAACTCTGCCTAACTCTGCTATCGCTTTATCATGTAGTTTATAACTTTCATCTTTATGATGGACCTAACATTCTGTCACATGGTAGACTAACAGTAAGGGAGACCTGGCTTAGGAAAGCTTAAAATGATAGGGATTGCCTTGCTGGCTCAAAGCAATTTGTTGATGGCTATAGGCAGACTGTGAAGGTGCAGCCTTCCTCACCCTGTATTCAGGGATACACTGCCTCTGGTCATAGAGCTTCAGCCTTTTAGCTATTATTGATAATAGCTGTTGATGAGAGGGGCAACCCATACTGTCCTGATACTTGGGAAAGCAAAATGTCTCCCTCAACATTGTGCCACCATCATCTATCGACGTACCCATCCAGAAAGGAAGGAAGAAAACGCTAAGGTAGTCCTCTGCCCCACCTGCTCCTCCGCTCTACCAGAAAAAAGATAAGAGCTTAACATAGTGCCCTATAACCAGCAAGGAGGAGGAGGAGGATGCAGTGAAAATGTGGCAGGGCAGCACGCCCACCCTATGAAAGACATGGAAGAGATGGCGGTGAGCATTGGTTACACGTGGCTGTATTTTCAAAATATCTGTGTGAGAGAGTTGCGAATATTTGTTGAGGGAAATCCTGCCCAGAAGGGGCAAACCCATCAGAAGTGACAAGGGGGAAACATCGATGGTGCAGCTCTGTTAATTTTCTGAGATATTTTTCTCTCAGGACCTGGCTCTAAATAAGAAGCAGCCTGTTTGAGAGAGCTGCATGGAGCACCAGTAGGAATCTTGTGGCCCTGTGGCCAGATTCATGTGGGCTCCTGGCAGGGCCATCGTGCTTAGTCATGCTGGCTGGGGCTGATATCGAGTCCAACAATGTCTTCTTTTTGAAAAAGTAATGCAACTTCCTAAAGTAGTGTGATGCACCGTATGTAAATTACCTCTGCCATCCCAGAACTTTGTATAGATCAACTTTGTTGGGTAACTGGTAACTTTACTACTGTCTTTGTACTATTCATTAAAGCTGCAGTCCCGCCTTTTCCTATTATTCTTCAGTGTGATGAGGCTGCTTAGTGCCTGTAGCTGAAAGGTTGATTCTGGTCAGGGCAAGTCCTATTATAAGGCAGCAAAGTTGGGCAGGTGCCTTAGGGAGCAGATGCTGGGCAGAGTGCAGTCACAGAGTAGCGCCAAGGTGATGAAGGATTAGAGCTTCTGAGTGTTATTTAGTCTGTCTTTGGCTGTACAAGCTGGCCTGCAGAATGCTGTCTTGTCACAACTGCTGGAATCACCAGTGTTGAACTGAGATCCATGTGTTTACCTGGGCAGCTTCTGTATGTAGAATATGTTGGAAGTGGCGGGTGTGGGAGTGGACAAAATGATCACTCTGTCCTTTACCTCAGGTAGCAAAAAGTCTTCAACCAATCCTCTTTCTGGCCCTTCACCCTCTTCCTTAAAAAATCCAGTTTGCAGCATGTAATTTTTTGCTAAACTTTACACCCGTTTGCACAAGTGGGGATATGATTCATATGAAAGCAGGCCATACTTAGATAATACTTCAGAAATAATAGTTAACGATGGTATAACGGAAAAGATCTTTCTAGGCCGAGGTACTAGACAAGGCTGCCCACTTTCACCAATATTGTTTTGCATGATTATAGAATTATTAG